TTTGTATTGCTTTTGAGATTTTGTTATCAAGATTTTTCTTGCTTTTTGGTTGCAATTTGTGTCAATCTCTCTCATCACATCTAGGTTTTACTGTTTCGTTTGTATTTTTGTTTCAATTTTCCTAAAATCTGTTTGTTACAATTCAAATGGAGATTTTTTGTAATTGATAATATTGTGGATTTTTAATTCCATTTCAATCCTTACATTCATTTTATATACATACATATGTATATAGGTGGGATTTTTTGTCACCCAGTAAAAGATTTTCAAAAACTGATAAGTTTTTAGCTTTAGCATCTGCCTTTCATTCAAAGCAGTTTCATCAATTTTTTGTAACACATACTTTAGTTAATGAAATGTTTTTTTTTTTCTTGTTAAATATCATTAACAAATTAAACTATGCTTCTAAAAACTCACCCTTAAGCAGGTGTTAGTTTTTAATCATATATTCATTATCACACGTTTTTTTTTTCTTCTATTACTTTATTACTATTCCTTTCAATTTCCCACAATTTGCTTAATGTTTTCTTAAGTTAATTAATTTTCAATTTCCTTAACATGTCTGCATTTTGGTTTTCTATTCTAATTCATTAAATTAAGACTGACTGATGCTGTCATTTAAATGGAAGTGTTTTCCTGTTGAAGTTAAAGCTTTTTAAAATTTCAAGTTAAACTTAAACTTAAAGTTTGTGTTTGAGTTTGATTTTTTTATAAAAGGCGGCAATTAAAAGGCGCTTGGACAACTTGTTTCTTTGTGGTAAAATAAATTGTCATTGCTAACCCAGCAAACAATTTAAAACCTCAAAATATTTTGAAAACTTTTAACAAATTTTCAATTATTTTTTGTTTTAACAGTTAAATGCCTGTACATTTATTCAAATTTTTTAAAATTAAAACTTAAACTTGTCAAAACCAAGTTTACTTAAACTCGAGTTTAAGCTTAAAAGTTAAGTTTAAGCCTAGCAACTAAAAGTTTTATATAATAAAACCTTAAAACCAAATAAAACAAACATTAAACTTTATTTCTTAAAAAGTTTTTAAACATTTTCGTTTAAATTTGTTTACGGGTTTTAACAATTTGGCATTTCCTTTATGATCACAGGGGGCTATTTGAATTGAATCTCACTTGTTTTTAAAATGACGTTGTCAGTTTTGAATAGTAAACACCGCAAATTGTATAAGACTTGGAGCAGGCTATAATGGCCATGATGAAACTTTGCAAATGGCCAGCATAAAACAAAAACAATAAGCTAAGCTAGCTAGCAAGAGAGAGAGTGAAGGGCGGTCTATACACACATGACTGTTGATTGTCGCTGTCAAACGCTTTTAAAACGCCAAACTTCAATGTTTTAAACAAACTTGCTTAGAGAATTGTCAGAGTGGCCTTTTGTTTTAATACCAAACAAAGAAAGAAATCGCAAAAAAAAAAACAAAAAAACCAAATACTCTCAATTCCATTTACAATTTATGACCAGGGCAAAGAGTTTTTTTGTGGTAAGGTAGCTTACAAACGAAAGCTTAAACAAAATAGGGTACAGAATGTTGTTTTTTTTTTTTTGTTAAACTCCTTAATTGCTTAAGTTTTTTTACTTAGTTACTTAAAGGCGGCTTTTAAGCTTTGATGTGTCATTTCAAAACTTTGATTGTTTTAAACATTTATAGCTAAAAAAAAAGCTTTTATGGTATTTAGAAAAAAGTATAAGGAAAAGGTATTTTTTTATTATGCAAATCTTGTTTAAAGTATTTTAATTAGCTTCAAAAACTTCCCATAACAAATTATTACCTATTGCGCTTACATTTGTTTCTACTTTAAGCTTTAATTAAGACTTTCAACACTCTACCACGCACTTTTTTTTGTTATAAAATTATAATGTGCAGATTTCTTGTAGATTTTATGCTTTATCAAAAGCAATTTGTTAATACAAAACCTATAATTTGGAGAACTACTGACAATTGTAGCAATTTCACATGAACTTTTTCTCTTCCTTGTGCTTTTTTGTTTATAGGCCTAAATTATGTTTGTGGATTTGTTGTTATATATAGTTTACTGTTAACTTAACTTTTTTTTTATTCTTGGTCTTAACTCTTAATACTCATCAATAATAATTTTCTTGCAATCTTAGTTTTTTTTCATTGTTTCTTATTTCAACTCTGTATAAAGTTGATGTTCATCATTATGAACATCATCATCATCACCTGCAGTCAAGTAGAGAGTGTTTGTGGCAAGCAGTCTTAACACCACATACGTTTCTTTAACAATTTCTTTTATCCATTGGACTAGCATGAAGTATCATTTGGTCTGGACTTTGTTGTTGTTGGTTGCATTTCAGTCATATAGCATTAAGCTTTGTCGATGCATCATCATCATCATCGTAATAATATCTATAATCAGCAACACGTACATATAATATTGTCTAAACCACTGTTATTAGTATAATCAAATGGGTATTATCTTAGCAGCCAGATCGAACTTGTTACTTATTTGTGGTCTTGTGGTCGCTGCAATATCAGTAGTAATTTTAGTATTAGTTGTAGTAGTCATCGTCAGTCCTGGCAGTCACTCAGTTGATTTAAGTTTAATATTAATATTGATTATGTTGCTTGCTAGGCGCAACTTTTAAACAAATGTCCCTCCTTTTCCCCCCTCTTTAGTCTTTTTGTAAAACTGTTCTAAAAGATTATCTTGTAACTTGTAAGCCACTGTTTAGGGAGAGTTTTGTTGTTGTTGCTGCTGTGGGGTTGCCTAACATGTGTCATTATCTCAAGTAATCCATCTTTTTAGGTTTTGCTGTTTTGTTTTTGTATCTTTTGATCCTTCAAATGATTGTTTCTTTTTTTGGTTACTAAAGGCGATTTTTTGAAAATTTATTTTAATTATTTTGTTTTTCAAATAAAAAAACAATGTTTAAAATAATCATAAAATATGTTAACATTTATAATGTTAAAAAAAGTTTAATATAAAAATTACTTTGAAATTATATTAATAATTTTAAAAATATGTTTAACCAAAAAAACTAAACCAAACTGCACCCATTAAAGTAATAAAACAGGGGAAGGACAAGTTTAAATGGACAAAACAAGAATTTTGTTTAAGCAACATGTTGTTAACAAAATCTATATATAAACATTGTTTATAAATAATTACAAACATAAACAAAAAAATTTTGCTTTAGCAACATGCTGTTAACAAAATGTATATAAACATTAACAAATTTGTTTTAGCAACATGTTGTTAACAAAATGTGTATAAACATTGTTTATAAAGATTTACAAATTTGTTTTGGCAACATGTTGTTAACTACATGTTAATAAGCATTATTTATAAACATTTACAAAAATGTTGGTTTAGCAACATGTTGTTAACAAAATGTATATAAACATTGTTTATAAACATTGACAAACATGTTAACAAAATGTATATAGAAATAGTTTATGAACAATTACAAACATAAACAAAATGTTTATAAACATTGTTTATAAACATTTATAAACATAAACTTTTCCATTTTCTTTAAATCAAATGTTAAAAGATTTCATGTTTAGTTTTAAAAGATCTGAAATGTAATGTTTATAATAATTTTTAAATTAATGTAAAATTACACATCCTTTAAGTTGGGCCACCCCTGTTTTAACTAACTCACTTACGGCTAACTCACCAAATCAAAGGGGGGGGGGGAGTAATAAAATGTTTATAACTTTAATCCACATACAATTCATAACACAAACAACGGTTTATCCAAACAACAATGCATGTGATCATGCAAATCTTTAAGAACGAACAGCTGCTGCTGTGGTGGTGGTGGTGGTTTTATTGCTGCTGCTGTTGCTTGTTTTACTAAACTGTAAGAAGTCTTGTTGGTTGCAAGAAACAAACAGCCACTGCTGCCCAGCAAACTAAACCAAAAATTGTTTTGGTCTTTGGGATTTAAATAAAAATAAAATTGTTGGATGCTTTAAGCAGTTTTAATGCAGCGAGATTTAAATGCACATAAATCTCACTTGGTGTCCGCCAAATTATAGTTTTCAAAACATTAGCTTTTACACTTTGTAATACACACAAAACAAAAAACAAAAGAAAAAAAACACTTCGAACGCCACACAAGGACACAAAAGGAACACTCGCTAGCGCTCAGTAAAGTGCGGTAAAAGCTCTATAGTAATCCATTGCTACGTTTGTAGTATACGTGTTATGATCAATGTGTTATGATCATTTATATGATCATCGATCGATCGATAGCTGACTGCTGTATGATGATCGATCTTTTTTGTCTTGCAGGTTTAAACAGAATGTACAAAAGCAAAAAGGTTTTTTTTTTTAAACGCGCGATTGTTTATGATACAAATTAAACAATTTATGACGACAACTGAAAATGCTCTGTGCAACAACAACAACAACAAAAAACAGAAAACTTATGTAATACACTCTACTCTATAAAGCAGAAGAAATAAACATAAAGCACTACCGCTTAAATATAGAATTTGCAAACGAAAAAAAAAACAAGCTTAAAGCGTTAAACAGTTGTGTTTAATCTGTGTGGCAGTAATTCAATTTTTTTTTTTCTTGCCAGCAATTGTTGTATGCAACTAAATAAAAACTAGTGCTTTGCTCTGTTTTGAATTTTGTGCGTTCGTTAGCTATAAATTTTAATTTCACACTCTGTTTTATGTTTTATGATCTTTCTCTACTGCCCCATACAACTCCTTTAAGTGTATGGAGTTTGTTCTTTGTTTTTTTGAGATTTTTATATAAAAAAAATGATCATTTATTATAAATCGTTATCGCTTCTGGTCTCAATCGCATGCAGAAATATATGTTTGTACAACTTTTGGCCTTCTTTTTTTATTTGGTTATATCTGTATCTTAAATATTTTTGCAATACAATGCTGCTGCTGCTGTTATTGTTGTTTTTGTAATTGATTTAATGCAGCATTATATCGCACCTTTTCAAGAGATTTATTTACTCATCTTTTCTTTTTTGTTCTTTTTTTTATATTTTTAGCCTCCCGTATGCCATCCTCACATACATCACCGCAAATGTGTCGGCCTCACTTTCATACGCCCCTGAGTTCATGGCTTACCAGCGAACATAAATCATTTGCACCCGCCAGCCCTTGGGGCAGTCCGTTTGCCTGTCCCCAGGAACCACAGGTCGATCATAAATTGAGTCAGGTGGGTCAATCACATCAGACAACAACGATGGGTCAACATTCATTTCCATTCCCGCCCACACCGCCAAAGGATTCAACGCCCGACTCAGTACAAACCGGTCCCTCGGAATATCAGGTGAGTTTTTATGGTTCACACTATGTTTGTTTAAAATGAAAGCTCTTTTGTAAAGAAAGCTTTATAAGAAAATAACTTTTTCATAATTACTCTTCAATTTTTATAAAAGTTTTATAAAACGTGCGTTTTAAAAGCTTTATAACGTAAGCTTTTGGAAAGTTTTATAAAATAAGCTTTTGCAAAGCTTTTTCCTTAATATAAAATACACTTTACTGATCACAAATTTTCTTTGCCTCTCCAATATTGCTTTCTTTCTAGGCTGTGGTAAATGCTTTTATGCATCAAGCTCAAGCGACGGGTTCCACCTCCCTGCCCGATACAAGCTGTGCCCTCGACATTAAGCCCACCATACAAAATGGCTCTACCTCCTCCACACACAATGGCAGTGGCCAGTCCTCTGTGCCCAAACAAAGAGAAGGTACTAATCAAACGTCAAACAGTAATAGTAACAACAACAGTAATAACAATAATAGTACAACAAATAGTAATAATACGAATAATCAACATAGTAATCAGACACACAACAACAACAATAGTAATAACCAATCATCGACATCAGGTTCTAGATCCGCCAATAATACAAATACACAAAATGTCCAATCTGCCGCCAACCAAAATAACAATACCTCCTCCCTACACAACAACAACAACAATACAAACACCAACGCCCTACTGAACAGTTCTAGTGCGGCGGGCCTCTTCGATAGTAGCGGCCAAACGCACTATGGCAATCTAGGCCAATCTAGCGGTTTGGGTTTGAGTAATGGTGTTGCTGGCAACACATCCGCCAATAGTTATGATGGTTCTTATGCCTCGTATGCGGCGCATCATCATGCGGCCGCCCAACATCAAGCGGCCGCTGCAGCAGCCGCTGGCATGTTTCAAAGTCCTTCAATGGCAGCGGCGGCTGCTGTCAGACATCATCATCACCATCATCATCATGGTCATCATTCGATGTCGGCGTCTAGTGTGGGTTCATCGGGTGGTATGTCGAGTAGTGTGGTTGGTGTTGGCGGTGGCGGCAGTCACGGCATGTCCGGCAGTTTAAGTGGTAATGGCAGTAATAACGGTTCCAATCTAGATGTTAAACCGGCTCGTACTAAACCTCGGACTAGCGCTGGTAAGCAAGACAAAACTTTCATACAACAAAAAAAAAAAAATAACACACACTCACACACACACACTCTTGTGTTGGCATTTTGAATTTGTTTTAAACAAATTCTAAATGTGGCAAAAATGTTGTGGGTGATTAAGAAAAAAAAAACATTTTAATTTTTTACTAACACTTTTTTTATATAATTTAGTTTAAGTTTAATTATTTATATTGTTTCAATTTAAGTTAAGTTTTCTTTTTTAAAGATTTTTTTGCATTTTTTTTTTAATTTTGTGCTTTTTTATGGTTTTGTTTTAATTCTTTGTTGTTGTTTTAATATTGTGTGTGAGATTTTTTCTTAACTATGTGTTTGGGAATATTGCGTTTGGTATTTTGCCTTCATTATACTTGACATGTTCGCAGTTTATTTTATTTTATTAAGTATGTTTTTTTATTAAAATTTCTGTACACACTTTTTGTGAACAAAGTTCAGTAAAAAGGCTGGTATATTAAAAACACTCCAAAAGTTTGCTAGTTGCACTTAAGAAGTCTCCAATTAATAAAGCCTTTTTTTGTAGCTTATAAACAATTCGTTGTCAGCCTTGTTTGGCTTATTAAAAGTACTTTTTTTGTATCTTAAGCCTAAGTAGGTACTCGTGAAATATAAAAGTGTAAGCAAAAATCAACCTAAATACAATAATAAAAAAAAGTTTTATATACAATGACAAGCACTTGAACATGTACAAAAACTTTTAACAACAAACAGCAAAGAAATAAAACAACAACAACAACAAAAAACCTACAACTCCATGCATTGTTTAGCAAGTGATTATACGTTGTTGGCGTGTGAACTTGGAAGGCCTGCCTGCCTGCCAGCCAGTCAGCCATCCAGCATGTACATTGTAAATACGCAGTGACAATAAACCTTTTTTTTACACGATATTATTAAAATGTACTCGAGAATATAGTATTTTGCATTCCGTTACTCCTTTTACCCTTAAAAAACAGAGTAGCAAGTGAGGGAATTGAAACAAAAATTTAATACTCATCATCAAAATCGCATAATTGTGGGTTAGTTTAATATATGAGTTTGTGTGTCTGTCTATCCCACTGCCTGTAGTGTTTTTTTCCTATTGTCATCATCATCATCATCTTTACATGGTTGCGTTTGTTAATTACATTTTCATTATGAATGTGACACAATAAGAGCGTTGTATATTATAGGTATATGTCTGTCTGTCCGTCTGTTTCTTTGTCAATCTCATAAAGTCAGTTACCCTATAGTTTTCTGTTTTTTTATTTGTAATATCCCTCTTACTTTGTTAAAGTTTGTGGTAATTTTTATTTTTCCTACAGCTTTCAAGTGTATGCAATTTTTTTCTGTTTTTTTTAGTATTTTTGGTTCATAACATTTGCAATTTTTATTTAGTTGCAAGTTCCTCATTTAGTTTGTGTTGAGTTCAGACTGATAAATTTAAAGCAAGTTATAAGAAAAAAAAAATTATGTGTAGCTTTGGATGAAAAATGCGCGGAAGTGCCTTGTGCAGTTTGTTTTGTCGTCGTTGTTGTAGATTGCGGCCGCGTACAACACCTGCTACAAGCCGGTTTTAAATATTCTATTTCTTTTAGTTTGTCTTACCTTAATAGTAGCAGTTAATGTTAAATTATACACTCTCAGTTAAGTTTTATGTTACTAGTTTGTGGTTGTATTAAAATTTTTTTGAAATAAAAAAAAGAAAAAAAAATTAAACAAATTTGGGGGAAAATCTATTTATAAATAACTAAAGGTTTAGGGATAACTATAAAAAAAATTTTAAGAGATATTCCCAATTTGGGCTGAATTCATAAAACTCTTTTTAAATTCAATTCCATAAATTTAAAGAAAATTTTAAAAAATCTCTAAAAATGCAACATTTTAATGTTTAAACTCTTAAAAATGTTCTTGTTTCTAAACTACAAACTTTTTATCATTCATTTTTGAAAAAATCAATAATTTTTTTATTTCCGCCAAAAAAAGTTTCTTAAATTTTGTTTAAAATTACAAAATTTCCCCAAAGTTACCTTAAAAATCACATAATTACCTCTTGGTTTGCTTAAATTAGTTCGATTTTTAACGGTTATTCCAAAAAGCTAACAATTGTTTACTCTCTCTTGCTTTATTGTTGTTTGCTCTCAAAAAGTTGCTTTCTTAAGTCTTTATTTTTAACCTTTTGCATAGACAAGTTCTTATCTTAAGTCTTTTGTTTTAATAGTAGCTCCTACTCTCTTTTCTCTCTACCTCTCTCTCTTGCTTTATTGTTGTTTGCTCTCAAAAGGTTGCATTCTTAAATCTTTATTTCGAAGCAAGTTCTTATCTTAAGTCTTTTGTTTTTATAGTAGCTCCTACTTTCTTATCTCTCTACTTCTCTCATTTGCTTTATTGTTGTTTGCTCTCGAAAGGTTGCTTTCTTAAGTCTTTGTTTTTAACCTTTTGCCTAAACAAGTTCTTATCTTAAGTCTTTTGTTTTAATAGTAGCTTCTGCTCTCTTTTCTCCTTACCTCTCTCTTTTGCTTTATTGTTGTTTGCTCCTATAATGCTGCTTTCCTATGTCTCATTGTTTAACTTTTGCCTAAACAAGTTCTTATCTTAAGTCTTTTGTTTTAATAGTAGCTCATATTCTCTTTTCTCTCTACCTCTCTTCTCTCTCTCTTGCTTTATTGTTGTTTGCTCCCCTTATGTTGCTTTCTTAAGTCTTTATTTTTAAACTTTTGCCTAAACAAGTTCTTGTCTTAAGTCTTTTGTTTTAAATTTTAAATTAAAGATTATTCTTCCTTTGCTCTTTCCCTCTTTCCCTCTCTCACTAATGCTTTATTGTTGTTTGCTTTCATAATATTACTGGCTTGAGACTTTTTATATAAACAAGTTCTTATCTTAAGTCTTTCGTTTTAGTAGTAGCTCTTGCTTCCCAATTTGTTTATATAATCTCCAAAACGGTTACACTCTCTTCTAACATTGTTGATTGCCAATGTAGCTTTCTTATAACTTTTTTGTTAAACTTTAGTTTTAAGCAAAACAAACAGGTTTTTCGCTTAAGTCTTTTGTTTTTTAAAGCACATTTTTTTAAATTTTGCTTAATTTTTTAAATAATTTCTTTAAAATTTTTTAAAAATTATTATAAAAATAATAAAATCTAGTAAATTGTCTTTATTAGCACCCTTAAATGTTGTCCAGCACTAAATATTTCAAACTCAATTCTTTTTATAAAACTCTTTATTTTAATGTTTTATTTTTTTTAAATTTTAGTTTGTTTTGAGGGCGTAAGAACACATGTTAGTTTGTGTGTCAGATTTTTTATGACCAAACAAAAAAAAAAGCTTTATAAAACCATATGTGTTTTTTTATCGCTGGTTGCTTTACTTATGTTTCAACATTTATAAACAAAAAAACGACACAATTGTTTCTTTTACTTAAAAGCAAACAATACAATTTTCTTTTAACTTTAAAATTGATTGGCTTTATTTGTTGTTTAACTCTTCTTCCTGTTCAATCTTTCTGGGGCCAAGAAGAAAAAAAAAGCTTTTTTTTTATTATGTGTCAGGTGAAAAGGAACAAAATATATAAAAATTCTTAACAATAAGACATATCATTGTATAAATACCTCCTATGTTTTGGCAAACCAAACCAAACCAACCAGCCAGCCAGCCAGTCAGTCTGTTTTTAATGTAACTTAAGCTTGATATTAAGGCCTCTTACACATACTCATTTAAACATATATACATACATATGTACCTACTTCTTCTATACAATATTGCGCGCTGTCATGAATGGAGTTTAAGTAATTGATATGGGTGAACAACGCTTATTTTCGTCATTCCAAAAAAAAAAACAAAATCTGTTAACCATTGTTTAAACTAAAAATTTTATGCCACTGTTAAAAAACTCTTAAACCCTGGTGGTTTGACAGTTAAAAACAGTAGACTTTTTTTTTGATCCCCAACAAAATCAATTCTTGTGCTTTAAAAGAAAAAGGACTTTATGTTTAAAGGCGCTAGCAATTTTATAAGAATGTTTAAATGTGTTTTTGTTTTAAATTGGTGAAATTTTAAAAGTTTTTTTATTATTATTATTTAACAAAACAAAAAGCATGTTTTTGGTTTTTTATTTATAAATTTTTTTTTATAATTTTTTTCTAGTTTTATACCATTTTCTGTTAATTTCCTTAACAAACAAATTTGTTTTTTTATTAAACTATTTATATATTTACTCACTCACATCAATGTGTCTGTTGTTTTGTCTTGTTCACCAGCTAAAACTAAAATAAAAATTATAAAAAAAAAACTTTTTTATAAAAAACCAAAATACCAAGTACTTACTATTACTATTTGTATAACTTTTTTTCTAATAAGTATTAAAACCAAACTTATTTAATTACCATATAATAACTAAACTAACTTGTCTTACACTATTTAAGCACTTGCTGTTCTTTTACTCATCTATACACACACACACAATTTAAACCAAAACTATTACTTAAACAAAACAGTAAAATATTATTTTTAGTGTTTTTGTTTTTATTAACTCAAAATTAGCTGGAATATGTCACATCTTTTAAGACATTTTATAAATTGTTCCACAACAATGTTACCTAAAGACGCCTTACCAAAAAATTCAAGACATATTTTGTTGTTGCTGTTTAATGTTTAATTCCTAAAAACCAATGTCATACCGAGTTTAAGACTAGATCACTGCAGTGTGTAGACAGACACACGCAGCATCTTTACAACAAAAAAAAAAAACACACACATAATCAGTTGAAAATAAAAAAAAAACTATCAACAGCTACAACTATGAAAAAAATGTGCATAAAATTCCTAGAAAAACTAAATGTCTATAAAATAAAATAAAAAAATAAAACAAAATTGTATATAACCTTATAGCCAAGACCTTACCCAAGACTTAACTTACATGCATTTTTTTTAAAGAAACCTATAAGAAAAAAAAAACTAAAACACTATAAAGGAGATACTAACCTTTTTATTTTGTGTTA